TATTATTATTATTAATTTAGATTATAAATATGAAAGCTACAATTTATATATATACTCCCTCTATCAATTTCATTTTATTATAAAATAACGATAATTTTATATTATAATTAATAAAAATAGAGACAAGAAATTTCAGAGGACTAAATTTTAGTGATACAAAATAAACTTATTTTATTCCTGTAATCAATCCAAAGATATAAATTCATGCTAAGCTTAAAATCTTATTTTCACTTTGGCATTGACTTGGTTGTACTGGCTTTATTCAATTTCAATCTGGTTGATACTTTTCTAGTTTATTTAACAAATCTAATGTGCGGATTTTAATATTAATATTAAAAATTAAAAACTTCCCTCTACATAATAATTAACAATAATTAATGCTATTAAAAAAAAGATTTCCACAATTTGAATTATATGGTTCATTTAGCATTTTTGATCCAAAAGAAATTCCAGATGATGATAACCAACTAGACTTATCATACACTCACTGGTCATAAATATGGACACTTGCAGATCATTGGAAATAATTGAATAAAGAAACATGAAAAAAAACCATTCGCTTATTAAGTAAAAAATCATCTCCATATCAAACAGTGTAATATACTGAAATTTCACCGCATATAAACAACAACTTGTTGTTTTACCTTAAAAAATAAAAATGAATTTTTCGGAATTTTCAAGAAAACCTTTAACTCGAAAATTGACCACAATGGCAAGTTCTAACGAACTTTGTGGTATAAGTGAAAAATGCATCTTATGTTTAAATCTAGTTATATCCAAAATTCTAGATCATTTGATAAACTAATTAATGAGAAAAAAAAATAAAACGTAGAAAATTTTACGAAACGATTCAACCTCAAACTGCTCACCAATTGGAAACATAAAAGACATCAAAGAATGTATAAACTGTTTTAAATTGATTGTATTTTATTAAAAAAAATCAATATCTTGCCGGGTTTCCTTTATTTTTTAAACAGCATCCATTCTTTGTGGCATACTATTTATTAATCCATTAATTTTCCCCAAGATAATATTAAACCATTCCCCTTTAATAAATTGAATAGTCCTGTTTTATTTTTGGTTCTGGGTTTCTCATTCCAAGTCTTCTTTTTAAATCCTGCCAGGTCTAAAAGCTGGAGTTGTTTTATTCTTTGGAAAATAATCATTAATGGTCTTTTCGACTGCACTTTTGATCTATTTAATATGCGAGCTATTTCTCTATAAGAAAAATCGGCCTTTTTTAAGCCAAAAATTTCTCCACGTTCGAAATCAGATAATTGAGTAGCTTTGAACATTTTAAATTCTCTTTAAAAAATAAAATGGTTGAAGTGTTTACCTTTAAACGAATTGTTTTAAAAGATCTTCAAAATTAATTCGTTTGAGTATTTTGTATGACATCTTGACAATTAATTTACTAAATGATCTAGAATTTTGGATATAGCTAGATTCAAACATAAGACGCATTTTTTACTTATACCGCAAAGGTCATTAGAACTTGACATTGTGGTCAATTTTCGAGTTAAAGACTTTTTTGAAAATTCTGAAAAATTCATTTTTATTTTTTAAGGTTCGTAAAACAACAAGTTGTTGTTTATATGTGGCGAAACTTCAGTATGTTATACTATTTGATATGAAGATGATTTTTACTTAATAAGCAAATGCGGTTAGGTTAATAAAAATTTTATTTTTTTTCATGTTTCTTTGTTCAATTATTTCTGATGATCTGCAAGTGTCCTTATATTTATGACCAGGAAGTGTACATGTTCATCATTGTATTTATATATTCACATTCTTTTATTTATTTAATAGTAATAGGAAAATGGATGACATATTATATAATAGATACTAATTATCCAACTAGTCAAAGAAGGGTAAATAAAATATTAAACTATGTAAAAAAAAGTGTAGTCGATGTATTAATGATGTTTTGAGATAGAAAAGATAATATGATTAACCTTTATTTTTTTATTTCGAATTGACCAATAAAATTTAGTTTTTGTGTGATTATATATTTATTTATAAACTTTAGCTTGAGATTAGAGATGGCTCTGCATCATAGTGCTGTCTTATTAATGAATCCAATCATTGATAAATTCATTTGTGCATCTATAGTTGGAATTACATCTAGAGTTATGGGAACCGGACCTGCTCACACAATTTCAGCTGTTCTTAAACAAAGATACTATGAAATCAATGAAGCTTTTATTTATATTGTGTTGAGAAATTGTGAATTAACCTTCAAAAAGTTAATCCAAACACAAAATAAATAATAATTTGTTTCATTAAATCAATATTTATTAAATTTTTAAAGAAAAAGATTATACAGTCAGACTTCCTATACAGTCACATCATACATTCACAACTCCTATATAATCACATAGCTTTTTTGGTTTGATTTTTATATATTAAATTTCATCATATACAATCACTTTCATAGTATAATCACTATCACCGATATTTTTTTGGTTCCACTATATAAATATGCATCATATATAATCACTGATACACATGATTATGTTGATCTTTAACTAATAAATTGAAAATTTGTTTTAAAAATCATGACATTATTATGTATTTATCATATATTATTTATTAAAAATTGCAAATAAAGAATAAATCATAAGTTTTTGTTATATAATATTGATTTTATTTGTATAAAAAGACCAAATATTTGCTTTAATAATTTAACATTTTTAGTACTAATTAATTATGTTTCAAGAGAAGAAAGAACAAAAACGTACAGCTATAAGTGAATTATTGAAAAAAGAAGTTTGTGTCTATTATTAAGAAAATGACAAAAACCCACAAAGAAATAGCAGATTACTTTAGTGAAATAAAACAATTAACAATTGACAGGTCAACAATAACAAAGATTTTATCTGATAAAGAAAAATGGATAAATATTTCATCTTCAACTCATTATAACATTTTTCATCATAAGTCAGTTAAATTCCCTGATCTAGAAAAGGCCATGAGTTTTTGGATTAGTCAAGTTAGTGCTCAAGGTCTTGTTATTATAGATAAAGTGGTTGCAGAAAAAGTGAAAGTACTTGGTGAAAGATTGGGAATTGATGAAAATGATTTAGTATTTTCAAATGGATGGTTATGCAGGTTCAAACAAAGAAATAATCTAAAAGCTGTAAGAATTCATGGAGAAGCTAATAGTGCGCCCTTAGAAAATTTACCTTTGTTGAGAAATAAATTGCAAGAAATTACAAGCAGATATGATTTAGAAAATATTTTTAATGCTGATGAAACTGGCTTATTTTATTGTATGTCTCCAAATCAAACTCTCTCTACTGATCCAGTTTCAGGAAAAAAAAAGGTTTGCATGATAGAAACTAACTTGATTTAATTAATTTAATGAAAGCTAAGTAATTTTTTTTGTTAAAATTTAAAAAAGAATAAAGAAAGATTGACAGTGTATTAACAACTAATGCAACTGGTACAAGAAAACTTAAACCAATTGTAATTGGAAAGTCTGTCAACCCAAGATGTTTCAAAAATGTAAATATGTCTTTGTTACCTGTTATTTACAAGTCTACTCCAAAAGCATGGATGCACAGTGATATTTTTGAAGATTGGTTAAGAAATTTGGATAATCAATTTCAAAGAGAAAGAAAACATATTCTGCTTCTAATTGACAATGCACCATCCCATGTGGATCCAGGATCAATCTTAGATGAACAACCTGAAGGTTATAATGAAATAAATGATTTACATTTAACCAATATTAAAATCTATTTTCTGCCTCCAAATACAACTGCTCATTTACAACCTATGGATTCTGGGATAATCAATAATTTTAAGGTAATATTTTATGGTTTATAAATAATGATAATACAAATTCACCTATGGACACAAATACATTATGATAAGTAGATACATTGGGTGTATTTAATCAAATAAAATTGTTATTATTACTTTAGGTCAATTACAAGCAATTATATATTAGTGACCTTATTAGAAAATTTGAACTTGGACAAAATTTTGAAAAGTTGGTTTATTCTTTTTTTTTTATAAATTTAATTTTATTTATTTTAATTGCAATTTTTTTAATATATAAAATTGAATATAAATGAAGCAATTGATTTTATTGGTGAAGCATGGAGTACTGTCAAACAAAATACAATTGTTAATTGTTGGAAAAAAACAGTAATTTTTCCAATTACCAATGAAGAAACAATTGAAATAGAACAAGCTACCACTGATGGAATAATTGAATCTTTAAATCAATCAGATCTTAGTGATGATTTGGAAATTTTGGAATATGTCAATGATAATGAATTGAGTTTGACAGAAAAGCCTTTAGATGATGATGAAATAGTCCAAATGGTTTTGGATGAAGCAAACAATGTAAATGATGAATCGGAAGGTGAAGATATTGATGAACTGAAAGTCATTGCAACCAATGAAGATGCTTTGAAAGCAGTAGATACATTGATTGAATATTTTGAACATCAAAATGATTTAGAGTTTAATGAGAATTATTATAAAAATTTAAAAAAATATTGAGAGAAAGATTTTTTTTTCAAAAACACAAAAAAGTTTAGAATCTTTTTACAATATTTAAATTTTTTTACTATTATATAAATTGTAGCCTATTTTTAATAATAAAGTTACATTCATTAAATTTTTTTTTATAATCACCAAATTTTTAAATTTTTATAACAAGTGACTATCTGAGAGGTGTTTTATACAGTCACATTAGCTATAATCATCAAAAATCTCTGGTCCCGAGGATGTGACTGTATAGGAGTCTGACTGTAATTGTTTTGCAATTTTATGTATAAATTTATATATTATATATGTTTTGTTGAGTATTTTTTAATGAAAATATTGGAAAATATTATTCCAATACTGTACCAAGGTACTGATTCAACATATGAAATAAGAAACTTACTCAATATTACAAAAAATATTATACCCAAAACAATTGGAAATAAAATTATTATTATTTATGATATTGTCTATTATGAGTTCATTCCTTGCTATTGAAACTATTATCTCTAAAGTTTGTGCAATATAAATTAATAAATTTAAGTATAGTCCACTTTCAATTCTTCTCAGCAAGTGAAGACAAACAGTTATAAATATACTAAGAGTAGCAATTAGAATATTTAGACGAAACTCCTATTTTGGTAAAAAGAGACAAAAGAACTAGTAAATATAAAATAAAATTTTTTAGTAAAAACTCAACAGTAAATATATTATGTCGTCCTAATACATACACCTCTTTTTCATTCTTCCTTATTCGCTTGCTTCACTTGCCCTATGCAAAGTTTAAATACTTATTTTCTACTTATTTATACGTATTTTTCTTATAGAGGTATGTTTTGACATGTATTTTAAATACATTTCATAAAATGATGATCATTAATTTTTTACAAAAATTGATTGGATACACTTATTTTATCATTAAAACATCCTTATTTTTTTGCAGTAATAGAAACATTTGTGTACTTATAGTAATAAGTATGTTTTAAATATTATTAACTTCAGAATAAAAAATTAAAATTTATATAGTATAAAATAAGTATGTTTTAAGTATTATTAACTTTAGAATAAAAAATTAAAAAATTCAATTTGTGCGTTTCCTTTTTAATTTTTTTAATTAAATGTAACTAAAATATGCCACATGAGTTTGTTACCAAATTTTTATGATTGTTTTTCTTATTTATAGATAATTTTTTTTAACATAAGAAAACAACAAAATTAAACCAGTACAATGTCAATTAACATTTTTGGTCAAATTTTTTATTAATGTAAGAAAACAACAAAATTAAACCGGTACACATTTTTGGTTGAATTTTTTATTTTTTTTGAATGAAATTTTGATACAGAGCCTTTTTTATCTTGTTTTTTTAATAAAAAAGGGTTTTTGATGTTTCGCGAAAATGGTTGCGTTGTGTAATAATTGATAATTGATAATGATAATTGATCACTGCCTCAAGGAAATTTTTTTGGTACAAAAGTTGTATTTATAAAGAAAAAAAAATATAAAAATGTATTCATTTTTACATCATTTTTGTAAATTCTTTTTTTTTTTTGGCAAATTCTCAACATTTTTGTAAATTAAATTAACTTTTTTTTAAAAAAAAATTTCAACACAACTGCTATATACACCTTGGTTTAATATATAAAAAAGATTTCTTTTGGGTAGTAACTTATAATTATATACATTATCTACACTTGGATTATTATTGTACATATTTTCTTTTAGGTGAAAAAGATAATATTTTCTTTTGAAGAAAAATAATCTTTGAAGAGATAAGTGTTTTGAGCATGGAAGTTTAAAGTAACAAAAGGTTACGCAACTAGTAAGGAAAAAAGAAGAAAAGAAAATCAGCATGGTGGACATTTGAATATCACGTAAATTGTTACACAGATTATTTATATTGTTTAAAAATAATCAACCAGTCCCATCAATTAAAGTGGGTGCAAGTGTGCTAATTAATGACCATTCAAACTTCAATATATTATTCTCTTAGTTGTTTTATACAAACTGTCAAAAGATCACAGAGAAGATCACACTTTTCAAAATTGCAATCTATTAAATGCCACCTAAAAATCAATTCTG